TGTGATTATTTTATCGAGAGATTAGTAATTCTTATAGTTATACTTAGTTTTATTATTAGTTTTAGTATTATTTTATCAAGTTGTCTTTGTAAATTATAGTAGGTTTACACGGATAATACCGTGAAGCCTATTTCAACCTCATGGTATCCCTACGAACCAGCTAAAGGTGAATATAAGAAAGGGTAAGGTAAGTATGAGTTATTTATTTATTTATTTATTTATTTTTTTTTAAAAAAAAATAACTAAAAAAAAAACTCACCATTTCGCCGTACGTCTCCCAAGCTGTGATAGCCATTTCGAAGTTCATTTTAACCTCACGATGTCCCTACGAACCAGCTAAAGATGAATATAAGAAAGGGCAAGATAATATGAGTTATTTATTTATTTATTTATTTATTTTTTTTTAAAAAAAAAATAACTAAAAAAAAAACTCACTATTTTACCGTATGTCCTCCAAGCTGTGATGTCTATTTTGAAGTCCATTTTGACTTCACGATGTTCCCATGAACTAACTAAAGGTAAAAAAGAGAAAGAGGACAAGGTAAGTATAAGTTATTTATTCACTTATTTATATTTTTTTTTAAAAAAAATAACTAAAAAAAAAAACTCACCATTTCATCATACGTCCCTTCAAGTTCGCAAAACCTATTTCAAAGCTATTTCGATCTTATAGTGTTCTCACGAACCAGCTAAAGGTGAAAAGAAGAAAGAGGGCAAGGTAAATATATATTATTTATTTGTTTATTTATTTATTTAAAAAAATAACTAAAAAAAAACTTACCATTTTGTAGTATATCCCCAAGCCCGTAAAATCCATTTCGAAGTCCATTTCAACTTCACAGTGTCCTTACGAACCAGCTAAAGGTGAATATAAGAAAGAGCAAGGTAAGTATGAGTTATTTATTTTTTTTTTAAAAAAAAAAATAACTAAAAAAAAAACTCATCATTTTGTCGTACGTCCCCTAAGCCGTGATGTCCATTTCGAAGTCCATTTCGACCCCACAGTGCCCCTATGAATTAGCTAAAGGTGAAAAGGAGAAAGAGGACAAGGTAAGTATAAGTTATTTATTCACTTATTTATATTTTTTTTTAAAAAAAAAAATAACTAAAAAAAAAAATTCACCATTTCACCATACGTTCCTCCAAGTTTGTGAAACCTATTTCAAAACCATTTCGATCTCATGGTGTCTCCATGAACCAGTAAAAGGTAAGAAGAAGAAAGATAGTATATTAAGGATATTATTAAAGCAAAGGATATATAAGTTTAGTTTTATTTTTTTTTTTTTTAAAAAAAAAAAATTTAATAAAAAATGATTATTAGATCTATTGTGTCACAAATTTTAAATAAGTAATTGATTTCAAATATTTTTTCCACTACCAAAAATATTTTGAGCTGCCAAAAATATTTTGAGCTACCAAAAATAATTTGAACTGTCAAAAATAATTTGAGCTGTCAAAAATAATTTGGGCTTTGGGTTTTTTTGACCTTTGAAGCCCAAATAATTTGGACCTATTCTATCACCCAAATCCCAAATTATTTTGGAATTTGGGTGGCATGTATAGTCACGTCTTCTAATTTTAACTATTTTTTCATTATCTACCTTTATTCCTTTTTCTTGTTTGTATACCTTTCCGATCTATCTATTTTTTATATCCTACTGGCCAATAGCTTATACAACAGTATTTTTTAATTTGAATTAATTTATTTAAAAGGTATGACAGTATAAGTGAATTATATTTTATTTTTAAACAAATATGCCATCACAAAAAAAAAAACAGAGACGCTCAACTATTAGTCAACAAATAAAGAAAAAAATTTGTCTTTATTCTAAACAAAATTCAGATAAATCTCATACTGAAATTGCAGACCAATTTAATATTGATTATTCTAACTTGTCTTTAAAATGCTCTACTATTTCAAAAATACTTAAGGATAAAGAAATGAGAGAACTTTGTATCAATTGAAAATTCTACAAAAGTTTTTAGAGAATGTTCAATAAAATTTTTTCATTTAGAAAAGGCTATTAGTTTTTGGATAAGTCAAGTATCAACTAGTGGTCTTACTATTAATAATAATATTTTATGTGAAAAGGTTAGAGATTTTGTACAAGCTTTAAATATTTCTAAAAAATCATTATCATTATCTCATGGTTGGTTAATGGGTTTTAAATAAAGAAATTATTTATGTTTTTTTACTTTGTATGGTAAATCTAATAGTGCTCTATTAGAAATATTACCTTAACAAAGAAAATTTTTTCAAGAATTATTATTTAATTATGAACTTGAAAATATTTATAATACTGATGAGACTGGATTGTTTTATAAAATGACAAGTAATCAAACATTGGTAACTGGTCCTGTTAAGTGAAGAAAAAAGGTAAAAACGTATTTTTTATTTAAATAATATTATATTATTTTTTTTTAAATAATTTATTAAAAATTTATTTTTAGGATAAATCACGATTA